TATTTCCTTTGCTGAAGGGGCCATGCTTTTTAATTGTCCTGAATTAACGAAGTGATTAAAGATTGATCACAGAGTTGATTTAAATTCCCAATGCCGTATTGTAATGCTACAACCCATTTGGCCCTGATGATATCAGACCTCCGACATGAATTACATACAGTTCCGAAACCACCTTTGCCCTTGCCCTTCTGGTTTATTCTATAGGAATCCAAGTTTAAGCATGTACTGTACTCTGCAGAAAACAATACAAAAAGTAGATTATAACATTTCCTGCTTAAATCCTGTTTTTACAAATTTTGCTCTTATGTCCTTGTTTTGTTTGTTGTTGCTTTCAATTCAGAGTTGACTCCTGATGATTGCCTGGACAAGTATTTTTGGCAAGTGATTTGCTTTCTAGGGCTTAGAGAAAGTCTCTGGCTCAAAGTCACCGAGCTTGCTTTGTGCCGAAGCGGGACTAGAACTCTGTCTCCCAGTTTTTAATCCAATGCCTTAATTACTACACCAAACTGGCTCTCCTTATATCGTATCCTTCTGATTTATTCTGTAAGAATCTAAGACCATGCATCTACTATATTTCAAAGGTGACCATATGAAAGTAATTAAAAATAACATGAGACCTATTTTCATACACATCCATCCTCTTTTAAGTATTATCCAATGTTACTTATTAGGGTACCCCAACAATAATAGTGTTTTCCTTTTTTCCCCTTTGAAAGTTCATTAGTCTCAGCCATCCACTTAATATTTTGTTCTACAACTCAAGCAATGAACAGAATTCCTTTTTAAAATCTATTTAGTAGATAATTTCATTACATGGCATTATTTTGACAAAGGGCCATAGGCCAGGACATTTTCAACCCATCTGAGAAACTGATCTTCAAAAGCCTTGATAATTTCATGAAATAAAGAACAGATCAAGTACAAAGCAGTGTGACTATCCCAGAAAGTTCCTTTAGCTAGAAATCATCTAACAGTGTTCATGAGTTCATAAACCATAATTAAATTACTCATTATAGTTTTGGGAACTATGAAAGCTGGACAGTCAATAGCATGGTCAGATTTTAGACACTGTCCCTTCTCCTATAATAGTGATGGCAAACCTGTGGCACGCAGAGCCATCTCTGCCAGCACATGATAGGTCGCCCTGGATCAGGTCCATTGCACATGCGCACGCGCCTCCCGCCAGCCAGATGATTGTTGGGTATCTGCCGTGCATGGGGGGGAGGGGCATGCATGGGAGACACACACGCATGTGCAGAGGTGTGCAGTGCGCAGGGTTGCGCATGCATGTGCAGGGGGCATGGGTTGTACACGCACTGCATTATGGGTGCAGGCACGCATACGCACTTTCGGCATGCAACGACAAAAAGGTTAGCCATCACTGTCCTATAAGATTCACTGATAGGCTTCTGGCAAGAGGTTGCTGCTTTCATCAGAATGACAAAAGCAGCAGTACATTTGTTGTACAAGGGCCACCTGTTTTGTATGTATGTGCATACAATGTCATATCACAACGCACATGAAAAAAGGCAGGTCTTGTGTCGCAATGCCACCAGGCTGATTTTGCCATTCTGTCACTCTTGTGGCTATGTGCTTCCAGTTATTATAAGGAGAGGTGAGGCTTCAAACACACAAGTAAGAAAAATTGCACAATTGTTTTCAGACTGCGTCTCCTTAAGTGGATCAGCCTCACAAAATTACAGCATATTACAGAAAAGCTCGGAAATCTAAACCTCTGGTCCCAGTGACCGGCCCAGATTGGATCCTGCATTACATCATCATGTGTTATGTAGAGCTTATGCTGGGCCATCATAATTATAAGCAAAGAGCAAATATCTTGAAGAACTCAAAACTGCCATTCACAAAAAGAGCAGCATCTTATAAATTATGAAGTATTTCCAAGGAATAATCATAAAAAAAGAAAAAGCCCATCTGTAATTCATTTTTCTTTGTTAGCCTCTATTGTAGAAGCATTCCAAGACATCAGAGGAAAGTATAACTTAAATTTAAACAGACCATCCATCATCCCCTTGGGCTCCTCTCAGCCAGTATCACAAGTGACTGAAAGGAAGATTCACCCACGAGATTGTTCTTGTGTCATGCTCTACAGAACAGCTCTGCTTGCCAAGAACAATTAGGTCTGACTAAATCTACCTTTCACTTCATTAGGAATCTTAATTGCTCAGTTGCTAGGTGAAAAACTAACTTCTCCTGACATGCCATCAGTCCTACTAATAAAACCTAAACTGTAACAAAATGTGCTTAAAAATAGTAATGTTCTCAGGCCATCCAGGTCTAGCCCAGACTGTGTGAAAAATATTAGTTACATTGGCCCTCAGATCTAAAATTCCCTATTTTTTAAGGATTGCATTCCAAGATCTTCTGATTTATTTTCAAATATATTGTACTGTACAAGGAAGATTTATTTTTACTGCGCTATGGTATTCAAATCAAAGAAAAAATATTTGCATTTTAAATTAATCTGTAAGGTTACCTAATTTCATAAAAAGATCTAAAGGATACATTGCATGTTTTCTATTTAATGCAAAAGTCATAAGCAAGCCTTAATATTTTCTTTAATATTATCTGCCATTGATACAAAAAATGAAACAAAATCGTTAGGACACATTGTAGAAAACAAAAGAAACAGAAGTAACCATGCAATTATGTAAAAAAAGAAAATACATTATGCCATGTTTGTTTTAACAAAAAAAATAACCCAAAATGGAAATTCTTGTTTTTTACTGTAAAAATTCTTGTTTTTTACCCTTTTTTACTGTAGGCCTTACGCATTCAAGCACTTTTGACTATATTACAAACTCTTAATCTGTAAGGAAACTCACTATTGCTTCCATTATCAATATTTAACAACCTTCCTTTTTTAAGTCAAAGCCATTACTTTTGGACAAAGGTAGCAATTCTTTTTAAGGATGAGGTGCGCGGGTAGGTTTTTCGTTTTAAACGAGTATTTTAAAATTGTGGCCTTGTTTTATTCCAGAAAATACTAATGGGCCTGGTTTTAATGCACTGAAAAACGAACACGTGTTGTGGCTGCAGCAAAGAGCAGGTCTGGTCTTTATTACGATGAGGGTTGCACCGAGTGAGGTGTTTTTTTTGTGAATCGCCCCCCCCCCTTCCTCCAATTCCCGGGCAGGTAACATTCGCATCTCGGAAACCAACTGAACCTTCACGATTCTCCCCCTTCCTCCATTTTCGCCAACTAATGAGGAAAAAGCGTTCATATTTTCGTGGCTGGGAGAAACGGCTTTTTTCCCCCAAAGCCCTAATCCTTATGCAATATTAAATGTCGGTTTGAGGCCCTGGAGCTTAATTAAGGTTGCTATTGTTACTGTGTCCTACGCACTTCGTTTCTCACGAAGCTCGGCGTTTTCTTTCCCACCAGCCTCCTCTTTCCCCAAAAGCGAGATTGGGAGCAAGAGACTTGGTTTTGGGATTTGCTTTTTGAAGAAACGGAATCCTTTATTGGCACATCGCAAGACCCGCAGCTGCGCTCTTGCAAACAAAAAGAGGAGAAAGAAAAAGCCACCCTTTGCTGCTGCTGCCGCCGCCGCCGCCGCTCCTTACCTCCTCGACGCGCAGGCAGAGGCAGCCCAGGATCCCCCGCGTCCCAATTCCTGCCGGCGACCAAAAAACCCGCTCCTTTCTGCTCCGCGGCGCCTCACCATAGTCCCGAATTTGTCGGCCAGCAGCATCTCCTCGTAGAGCCACTCATCGTCGCTCGGTTTTCTCGGGCTGGCGACTTCCGAGCTTGCCCGCTCAGCTCCGAAGGAGAAGCCCTTGCTTGCTTCGGACTTCCCACTCCCACCCTGCAAATTGTCACTTTCTCACCCAGCCACCCACCCCGCTACCACGCGCTGCAGCGCTGGGAGGGCGGGGGAGGTAAGCTGCAACTCAGCACGCGCAAAAAGCCGCCCGGGCTTTTCTTTTTTTTCCTCCTCCTCCTCCTCCTTCTTCTTTTATCTTTTCCTCCCACCGTCTCCCGCCCGCCAAAGGCGAGGTCCGGAGCTCCTCGTCTGGCCTGGGAGCTCTACTTCTCGGGACAAGCGGAGCAACAGATTGGGGAGGGTGGGGAGGTCAGGGTTGTCAGTCGAAAAGCAGAGCAGCTGTTTCGAGGAGTCTCGGGAGCAGGAAATGCCACAAGACTTAAATCCAACCGCGTCAGGAAGAGCGCGCGCGCCCATGTGTGTGTGTGTGAGAGAGAGAGAGAGAGAAAGAGAGAAAGGGGTGGTAAATAAAATCCGGGTGGGATTATTATGTTCTGGAATGGATCTCTCTCTCTCTTTTTTTTGTAAAGCCGAGGCGGTTTTAATCGCGTAACTGTGAAAGAAGGCAGGACTTAGCCGAAACGAAAATAAACGTTGGTCATTCAATGTCTGACAGGAACATAAATACTGAGTCAAGGTTGTTGTTTTTTTTAATATTTATTTTGATATTTTTCCTCCATTGGGAAAACGATTTCCTACAGCCAGCGGGAGGGTGGGGGGGGAAGGAGCTTTCCTCTGGGCTGCCCTTCCTCAGAGCCTCCCTCTGTTCTGCTTCCAGGGCTTGGAAGCCCTCAGAATAGAAAATAGGAGTAGAATCGAGCAAATAAAGGACTTGCTACCCTCTACCGGACAAACAAGGTCGAAAAGCTGGTCCCGGTTAAGAATAACATATGAATGGAAATGCGATGGTGTAGAAACAGAAGATTGTGGCCAAGAATCACGCGGAAGTCCCTCTCTGCAATGCTTGCTTTGCAGCGTCTTTCGAAAGGCCCCGAAAGGCCCCCCGCAAGCAGGCGAAATGCCCCCACGCGTGTTGGTGAATTGTGGGAGAAGAAAGTGCCGTTGGAAAGCTCGAATGCTTTATCGAGGATATTTCTCCGATAATGTTTGGAATTCAGCCTCATCATGGGGAGTCTTCTAGACAGAATTCCTAAAATTATCGGAGAAAAAAGGCATTTCTGGAAAGAAAAGAAAAAAAACAAGGTGAAAGAAATAGTGGGGAAATGCATGGAAGGAAAAAAGTGAAAGACCTCCCTCCTATTCCGAGGGACACGACAATGCTGAAAAGGGACACGCCAATAACCTACTGTCGTCAGCCATATCCTGCACGTACCTGAGAAAAGCTTATTTGGAAATACCAGCTACTTACAGTATAGTATTGCTAATGCAGGATGAGCAGTAGGTAAATTTGCAATTTCAAGATGATTGGTTATGTTTTTATTTTCTTGTTCCATATTGCATTTAAAACTTTTTGGAATGCAGAGGAGGGCCTATGTGTTGAAAGATGCTTTCAAGTTGCAACATCAGTTTATTTCGTGGAGTCTGCTAGGAGAAGTTGTATGCTAATTATATAAGTAGCAAGAAAATCAAGGTGGTTAGCGTTTTGAAATTGAGGAGAATTGAATACAAAATAGACCAGATTGTGTGCTCAAGGAAATTCATCTTGGGAAACTATAAATAACACCATTGCCCTCCAGTATTGCATGAAGCCCCAAATGCCTTTATGGATCTCCCAACACTGAATATGTGGCATATTTTTTGTTTTGAAGTAGGCAAATACTACCCTTGCTTTAAAATAGGCTTATAAAACAAAAGTCTAAACAACCACAAAACTTACAAGGTATAAGACAAAAGTCCAAAAAAGTCCACAAAACCACAAAAAAGCAGAAAATCCCAGTTCAACTTGCAGCAGCATCCCAACCACAGTGGCACATGTGATCGCTGCTCCCTTCTCGTGCCAATTATAGAGGAAAAAGGACTGGCTTCTTTCATTTTAATCTCATGAAATATGCAGGAACAAAGTAACTTCTCAGGAGAGCAGTTTCTTGAAAACATTTTCATTGCAAGAAAAGCTACTCAAGGAAAGTGTTGTATCTAAGTAAGCATCGCAATACCAAATTCTAGTATAGCTATAGTAAGAACGATTAACAATGGACTAAAACAGGGGTGTCAAACTTGAGGCCTGCAGGCCAGATCCGGCCTGCAGGGTGGTTAAATCTGGCCAACAAGGCCGGCCTGGAAATATCAAAGGACCAGCCCACAGTGCCTCTGGTGGCTAAAATGAGCTGTGTGAAACACACACACACACACACACACACACACACAGCCTCGTTTTCACCCTCCATGGTCTGCAGCACTCTGCCGGGCAAAAACGGGGCCAAAAACAGCCAGCAGAGTGCTGTAGGAGGCCATGGAGGGTGAAAACGTGCCGGGAGGGGCAGACCCCTCCCATGCCCCATTTTGACCAACAGGTGCTGCAGGAGGCATCCGTCACGCCACCTCCCCCCAACCCACGGAGAACTACGATGCTGATCCAGCCCTCGAAGAAATACAGTTTAACACCCCTGGACTTTCCAACTCTGTTATTCTGTTACACAGCTTGGCCCCTGCACATAATTTAAATATAATTTTGAAAAATAATGCAATCTAGGATCACTACTTCAATGATGCAATCATGGCCCAACAATTTTCTTGGAAATCATTCTGCATGGAGTAGAAATACAGTTACAAGTATTGCCTAGATTAGCTCTGACATTCTCACATCCTCCACCAGATGGAAAGATAACAGAGGAACCAACTTAAGATCATACTTAAAACAGAAAAAGTCATGGTATGGTGTTTTTACTAGTGAAGATGAGATAGAAACTGGAAATATTGACTGCCGACTACACCTTTATCCATGATTAATAAATGAAGCTGCCAATGGGGAGGGGAAAACCTTAATGGTTTTCAAACTTTTCTTTACCACGGAACCCCTTTAAATACCTTTTGTGGCCAGGGACCGTGGCCATGGAGCACCAAGACTTCATTCAAATTTAAACCATAACATTTTTTCAAGGCTTTGTGGATCCCCTGTGACCCCATCGTGACCCGCAGGGGTCTGCGGATCACAGATCGAGAACCACTGCCTTAATCTATTTGCATAATCTGCAGAGAATAGTCCCATACTTTTCTTCTGGACCCAATATAAATATTTGCAACAAAGCAGATATTTCTTGCATGAAAGGTTTTACTTCTTCTGAAAAGTACACCATTTTTTAACCCTTCTATTTCAGTTTCCTTATCTTTCTGGGCATTCAGGAGTGTACCAGGTGCTGCATATTGATATCCTTCAAATGCTTGTCTGAGTTCCTGGGACAAAAATATACATTTTTCTGTACAGCTTGACAGCCAAACGTTTGGTCTACATTCTGCAGCTAAAAATGCTTGCAGAATAACTAGTAATTGAACTAAACAACTGAAAGTGAAATGTATTATTAATTCAATAAAAAAAGAGAAGTCATTTTGCTTAGACCCATCAAAGCAAGTACAGGGTGTTTGTTGGGGATATTAAAATGTCAAGAAGACAGTCAGAGTGACACTATAAAAGCCTCAACCATTTTATATGCCTTTCAGCTGCTATCCTGACTTTTTTTTAACCTCCTGTGGACCCTCCCCTGACCACAAGACAAAAGAATATCAGGCAGTAGGGTTAAGAATTATCAGTACATTTTCTGAAGAATTTTCTTAAATGAAAGTTAAATCTGATTGCATTTCAAATCCAAATGTATTAAAAGCACTGGAAATGATCAGTAAAAAGAAGTTGACCATCAGGCTTACAAATGTTCAAATATAAAATATGGTTTAAACTATTCTGCTTGATTTGAAATTGCTTTACATAAAATATTAATTTTTAGAAAAATAATCTTATATTCTATACCTATGTACTGATTTTATATAGATAGTCTCTTGCATAGTCTACTCTTACTTTATTGATCTTTGGCTGTTTTTAATTTTACCTATAAAAATTAATGGGAAATTAACGAGACCTATAAATTAATGGAAGTTATTGCTGTAATTTTCCCCCTCTGTACTGAGGTAACACACACGCGCGAAAAAGCCATCTAAGACTACATAAATGGATGAGACACTGTAACGTTAAATCAAGCTTAATACTTAACTTGTCTCATGGTAACTGACACAATGAGACCTCTGCAATCAAACTTATATTGATTAAACAATAAAAGGATACTCTCCGATAACTAAAATAATTTATTCTCATTTGCACGACTGAAAAGATATACTCAATAAAGCAGGTGATGAATGCAACAGTTTCTCATGTCTAGCCCACCCATCCACGCGTAATTCAACCCTGAATGAAATACGAATCTTGTGTTTCTACCTTTAAATGCTTTCAGATGAAGCTACTGGCTAAAATGCTTAAAGGCATCATTCAGCAAAGTGAACTCTGTAAAAGGCGTCAGAAGTTGTGTCTCGTCTGATGGCACAAGTGAAATGAAATCCTGACCTAGGTAGCTAAGAGGTTTGTTTTATGGTTCAGAAAACAGGCAATGGCACAATTATATTGGTTTCCTAATTGCAAAGTTGCCATAGGTCTCTCAAGTAATTAAAGGAACAAAGAAACAAGTCACAAACAACTTTCAGTATCCCCAAAGAGAAGAGTTCGCTCTTGAGGATTACACAAACCAGTCCTTTTCTAAGACCTTAGGAAAAATTTAATACTAAAATTAAAAAGTCGGATCAGATTAAATACTCTATTAGTTAGTATTCTGTAACTTCTGTCAAGCTTAGCCACACAGAATTTTACAAAAGTGCAAAACATTGTAGCTGATCTTATAAAACTGCAAAAATCAACATATCTGTGTTTTGGAAACTAAATGTGGTATTATAGTGTATAAAAACAGCTTGCCTGTAAATTCTGCCTACAGGTTAATAGAATAAAAGATTTCAGCTAGGACATTTTTTCATTTATTTTTATTATTTAGATATTATTTAGATACTAGGCTCACACATGGAACTAAAATTAGTATTTTGTATCATATTACACTCCAGTAAGATCTGTTTACATTTGGCAGTATAAATGGATTTTGTTCTGCCTAATTTCCATTTTTTTTCTAAATTAAAAGCTCTTCCCCCAGATATACATGGTAATTTCAATTTATCACACCAATTAATTTTTTGTTTTATTTCTAGACATAGAATTACTGCAAATAAAACCATCATGTGAGATGTAAAACTGAGTAGTACATATGCTGACCTTGAGAAAACTCACTGCCCCTTAACTCTGTAATCCCGTACAGCCTCAGGACCAAATATAGATACAGAGAGAGTATTATAAATGTATAAGAACAGCTGACAATACTTATAATCATTACTTGGTTAATTATTAATATACATTATAACTTCCTTTGTCCTTTAAATAGGTAATCAGTTCCTTTATCCTTCAGTATTACATGTTCTATACTTTTTTATTCTTATGCTAACAACTTTTCCTTTTCTCCTAGGATCAGTTTAAGTATTTTCTTCATTGCCATTATTAATATTTATGCCAGTTTCTGTGTAGAAACAGAAGCATCACAACTATGTTAAGTATAATTTAGAAAATCCCAGGGACAAGAAACTTTACACAAGGCCCACAGTCACCTTATTGGGGAGATGGACAGCAAATAAATTGAATAAATAGTAATAATAATAATTAATTGTACCCACTTAGGTTTTAAAGCTCACTCATAGAAGAAGGAAAGGGGTATTATTTTTGCTTTGTTTTGTGCAATAAATGGCCGAATAAAGTCATTGCTACAAATAATATTAGTACTGATAATAATGTCCATTGCAGGTTCCTGGTGCCTCCAATTGTGTCTCTTGATGGGGTGGCACTGCCCTTGAAGGACCAGATTCTTGTAGAGAATTGGGGAACTGATCCTGAAGGTAAAACATAATCTCTTACATAAGCAAAGATGCGTGAAATGTTTCTTAATCCTTGGGAAACAAGATAATATTATGAAAAGGCTCAGGTGGGCCGTATAAGAGGGAAAGGAGAGAAAGTACAAAATAAGGCTCTCAAGCTTGTAATGGAATATGAGAATGACCTTGGAGAACAAGGGGAAGAGATGTTGCTTAGGAGTTATACAAGAGAGGCAGGAGCCCCCAGTGTCTTAATAGAGAAAGAAATTTAGGAAGGACCACCCTAATGGGTCAAGCAGTTAAAGTGGTGGCAGGAAGTCTGTACTTTCAGACTTAGAAGATTCGGTTAATGTAGCCTTATAATGTAGTATTAGTTCATCTACTCATGTCTTCTGTCTACCTGGGACACCTGGTAAAGGTTCTGTCATTATAATCTACCTCAATATAGTTTTAGTCTGCCATTGGACTGAAAGCTCATAACATGGGATCTCCTGGATTTATGTGTACAGCTAGATAGGCCGATAGAAGCCACACCCAGGTGATGTTTGTCCAACCCCGGCCTGATTCAATAGTTACAGTCTTACCAAGACAAGAATACTGTATGAAGCACAGTGATTTGTGCCCTACATTTCTTCAATGTAGTCTACATGGAACTTCTTTTGAAAATTACCCTAAAGTTTCAATTAGTCCAGAATGTTGCAGCCTAATTATTTGTATACATAGTGACATGAGCACATGACACAATGTTGTGGGTTCATGGCAGTGCTTTCACATCTATGTACAATTCAAAATGCTGGTTTTGATCTTGACATTATGGTATCTCCAGGAGGTATGGTATCTCCTGTACCTAGTTTTGACTTGCCCATTGTGAAGTTCTTTTTTTTTTTCTTGCAATATTTTATTGATTATAAAACTAAAATATCAAACAAACACATACACAACACACAGAAGAAGAAGAAAAGAAATAGAAAAAAAATGATTAAAAACTAACAATTCTACTATCGACAGTCTATGGTTCCTTGTTTGTTATCAATATTGGTGATATATTTACAAATACATCTTATTGTGAATATATAATTACTACCTCTTTTACATTGTGAAGTTCTTGAGAGAACCCATTAGCAGTTCTTTACTTTGGTGATGGAAGATGAATAAAGGCTCCCAGACATTGTTTTGCTGTTATGACACTGATACTTTGATATATTATCCTATGAAATTTAAGTAGCTCCTAACTTTTTAGGTTTTAGGTAATTATTCAAAGCCCGAATTGCTCAATAAGGCTGAATGTGAACAATGTAATCCAACCACGCTGAGCTAGCAGGAACAATGGGAAGGGCTATCGGAAAATGTAGTTCAAGAACAATATTGTGGGAAGGCCATACTGTTCCCCACCCCGCAAGATACTTTACAAATCTCTCCACTTATAGTCTGAAATAGCAATAGCACTTAATTTATATATCGTTTCATAGTGCTTTGCAGCACGCTCTGAGCGGTTTACAAATGTCAGCATATTTCCCCCAACAATCTGGGTTCTCATTTTATCAACCTCGGAAGGATGGGAGGTGAGTCAACCTTGAGCCCATCAGGATCAAACTCCAGGCTATGGGCAGAATTGGCCTGCAAATACTATATTCTAACCAACCACTGGGCCATCATGGCTATAAGAAAGCAACTTTTACTCGCTTCATCATGAGTTACAGGCATAACTTTGTGGCTATAATTACTAGCTGTCTTTTCTTCGAAACTTAGGTTGCTGCTGGCAGAGATGGGGAACAAAATTGCAGGGCACCGAAAAAGGAAATGCATATAGACATTCACTGGTTCACTGAGTTTCAAATTATTTCTTCTACAGATGTAATACTGTCTGGGGCTGTCAAGAAGAGTCATTCCCATCCCAGGTGGTTGGATGCCAGCATTACCATCCAAATTCAATTACTCATCCTGGTTTCAGGTGTTACATTCTTATTAATTTCCTCTCTGCTGGGTATTCAGGATGCATACTTTCTTTTGTTGTCATTGGTTCTGTACTAGTACAGATCCAAATCTGTAACATTAGAAAGAGAGTGGAATATATAAAGTTTCTTTTTAATATAGCAGTTAGGTTATTTTTGGAATGCATGTCTAACAGGAAAAAAAAGGATCAGGTTGCTGCTCTCTTGGGAACTAAAATGACCAGTGTAAAATTCTGTAAACACTTTACCATCTCACAGTAAATAGAATTAATAAAGTCCCAACTACTTAGCCTCTGCTGACCTCCATTTTAGCCAAGCAGCTCTTTATCAGCAGAATATCTCTAAAAAAAACAGTGAATGTAAAATTTGACAACATTTCCTAGATTCCACATTATAGGACGAACAATTTAAATCAACACTGTAATAATGTTAAAACAGACTAATATAGAATTCTAGTGGTTCAGAATTAGGATAAGCTTATTGCAGAAGGAAAATAGGGTATCAAAAAGGGGGGGAAAACTTTTACACTAATTTTATTGATTCCACCTAGTTGCTAAGCAATATGAATATACAGCTAGATTAGGAGTGCATTATGGATGAATATGACAGAATTAAGACAGAAATTAAAATATAGCAGTTTGCGCACTGAAATCAGTTTGCGCATCATGCATCATCTTTTCCACTGTTTTTCAACTCTGTTCAGATAGAAACTGTCTTTGTTTACCTAATTTGACTTTGAAATCAGAACCGGGAGAGTGTAAGCACAAGCCAAGATGGGTTAGAAGTATAACTTTCCCCCCTGTTCCAGCCAATGGTTTCATAGGAATCCTACATCATGACAGTTTAATTTCTCTTTTTGCTTTCCCAATAGAAAACAATGTAGAAGAGCACATGATACACTAAGGGGCCATAGAGCCATAACTGAGTGGCTATTTGATTGCTCTGATTGCACATATCTTTTCCTGGCACATATTACCACTTTAAGCCAAGGAATCAACAATGAGTCCTACAGTCAGAGAAAGCTCTGGAACTTGTTTACCTGGCCATGCTCCGAATAAAATGTGAATTCAAATCCTTTCTCTCCCACCTGTTTCCATTTCACACTCCATTTGCAATGATTAAGTGCTTACATTCTTGGGAAGGAAAACTGAAACAGGTGTTAAACAGCAACAATGCAATCTTGCTAACCCAGAGTTAAAAACACAAGTTTACGGCATATCAGTGGCTGAAGTCAAAATAAGGATAAATCAAAATGAGTAGCTAAGCGGCTTTGTTTTTATTTCTGTGAATAACAACATGGGAAGATGGAGGTAGGTGGTGTAATCTGATAGAGAAAGGTAGTACTACTAAAATAGTAGCTTTCCGGGAGCCAGGCCCTAGAAAATTCCTACTTATGTATTAGAGGTCTTTGAGCAGTACATTTCTTTATATACACGCCAAGTGTCTAAATATGAATCCAAAAGGATTATGGCTTGAATCCAAATTGCTACCCTACTTTTTTTCATGAGTTATATTGCTACAGTTAGAAATCTATTTTCTTTTTCTCAAATTAATGTTTATTAACCAACTAAACCTGTATAGGTTTACTTATACAAATAGCAAACCAGTATAAAATACCAGTATGAATATTTAAAATAAACAAAAATCAGTATCTTCTGCACACCTACATCTTCCTTTTGCTGGCCTTTCACTGTTTTCCAATATTCTTCTTTACAAACATTATTGACATACTGCATATTTTCAAATACCGGTATGGTTACAAATATGTCTTAGTTTGTGTGTTTTTGTGTACGCATGCACATATTAATGTGTTGAATCCTGGCTAACGATTTTTCTACAGCTGTGAAAAGAATTGGAACTGCATCTCAATGAACATGACAAATCTTGGTTATCTTGAACACTGGCAGTCAAATATTTTTGCTATATGTGTTGTAATTTGCTGATTTATACCTCAGTTCTGTGTTATATCAACTCAAATAGACATTGTATATTGGAATGTACATCTTCAAAATATTTAGAATTGCTGGAATAAACATATATCTTACAATGCTTCAAATAATGAAATGTATAATTTTGGACTTTTCTTGTTATACATGAAACCTATTTGTAGCATCTTTATTGTAAAAAAAAATTTCCATTAAAGATTCAGACTGGTAACATTTGGAAAAGAAATGAAATTTTGGGGAAATGGACATTTTAACTGTAACTTTTGTTTAGCTTGGACTGCTTTGTCTGGACCTGTTATTAAGAACAGTCAGATATTTTAGGCCAGTTATTATAAAAATAAATTCTTGATATGGTTTGCTTCTCTAATAAGTGTTACTTCCAAATACTGCTTCCCAGACCAGTCAGGTTAGGGCAATTTAAATGCCATTAAATACATTTTATGTAATAGGGTTGTAGCTGAGTTCAACCCTATAGGTACAACTCAATAGCTCATCAAACAGTATTTTGATGGCAATATTGCTACAGATGTGGGGTCTCTGGGTAGAAAATTCTTCCTCTTTCTATCCTTCTATCCCTCCTCCATCCCACTTCCCAAAATTACTTCGCTATTTCTATAGGAGCCCAATTTTAGCCTATGAGAGGGAAATTGGAAAACTTTTGAGGGCAGAAGTACCTCCCAGAAGTCTGTTGCTGCTACTTTTTCCTTTCTCTGAATTTCTTTGGTGTACTGTGTTTGCTCCTTCCTCATGTGTGTGATGTTTTTGTTCAGTTTTATAGTTTCTTACTCTTTAAGTTTTATGATTTCTTACTCTTGAAGTTACCAAGAGTCATCTAGAGTTGGGCAGCCACTAAATTTAATAAAACACATTCCTGCAAGGAGAAAAAAAATGCCAAAAATTATCTCAGAAACTTTGGAGGGCTGAGTTACAAAGCAATTCTTGGTGAGAGCCAGTGTGACTTGATAGTTAAGATGTTAGTCTGGGCCTGGAAGACCCAGGTCCATCTTCAGCCATATAGATTTACTGGGTGACTCCTGCTCATTAATCCAACCTACTTTTGGAACTCATTGTTACAAGTATAAAAGTGAAGAAGCTGTGCATGCAAGCAACCTCCATCTCCCAGATGAAAAGTAGAATAGAAATCTAATGAACACATGAATAAAAGTTGTTTACTTTGCCATAAACCATGGATTACAAACTACAATACCTGGGTTCACAAAATTGTAAATAATAATAGGTTATTTGATTTGGTCCAGCATTATGTAAGCCACTGTTTAGACCTTTTACAGGATTTTGTTTTAACCTTAATTGCTTGCCAGGAACTGCCAAGTAATGAAAAGTCCAGCATTGATATCATATTGATTTAATTACATAATAGAACAATAACAAACACGGTGATCAATTGCAATGGAATTTTGCTGCAGTTGTCAATAACTCAAGTTAATGGCATATATGAATGTTGGGCAATCTTCCAGGTCCAACTATAGTTGGGAACATTCTCCCAATATATAGAAGACTTTTTGACTTTTTTCATACTTTTGCCATATGCCATAACATGTAGCTTATACAGAAGCACCTAAAATATCTGCTCTAAATTTTATTTTTCTTTAGGTTGATTTCTGTATTGCCGACCAGCTGTTCTGTGTGTGTGTGTGTTTGTGTATGAAGATAATATCTTTTAACAACATACAATATGTCATGTTCATGACCTAGATTTCTTGAGAAAGAGGATTTGTTGATTTTCCCACAGAAACTAAAATGCCAAAGCACCATTCACAAGTTACGATCAAAGAGTGGACTCACATGGTTAAAAGTGAAGTGAAGATGTATTGCTGGCTCCAAATCCAAGGCCATATAGCTTCATCTTCTATCTATTCAGGATAAATTTATATTGAATATATAGTAAGCTGTTTAACTGAATAGATTCATTAAGGTGGGGGAAAAACAATGTAAAAGATCAAGGTTTCTTCAAATACATGGTCATAGCTGCCATCTTCACTATCACACACACCCCCTTCCCCTTCAAATATTTCTGAATGGAGTATGGAAGAGTTAAGCCTCCCCAGTCTATATATAGTGATCTCAAACCTTATAATAACTCTTTCTACATGTTTCACTAAAAAAAACAACCTCTGCTGCATTCTGTGTGAATCCATGTAAGAAAATTATACTATTTAGACATGAACATCTCTTTATCTACATAGCCTTCTATGAAAATTGGAACTCCATCACTCAGGAAGATTGGTAAATTTCTGTACTTATGGTTAAATCTTGTGTTCAATTAAGAATAAGAAAAATATGGGCAGGATCAGTCTATAAATGCCATAGACAAAATCAGAGCCAAGTCTTTTCAGTTGCAAAAAAGTAAGTAATTAAAGAAAGGGCAAGAACTTTATTCATCCATAAATGCCACAGCTAGAATGAAAGCCAAGTATTTTCAATTGCAAATATTTTCAGTTGTATTTTACAGATGTACTTAATTTTTCAGACAGAATGGCTGGAAGCCTTGCACCATAGTTCATTCATATCCATTAAGAAAACACACAAAAACATTAGAAACTGTTTCTGCCAATGAAACAAAATCACGTTGAAATCTTTGAGAATACAGGGTCATTTACTTTGACATTATGATGATACTGCTTACTCAGGTTCATGAACAACATAACTGAACTTGATGAATTCTGAAAATATATGTTTGGCCATCTCTATCCAAAGCTTTATTTAAAAAAAATACAGAGTCCTCATTTAATGACTGCCTCATTTAGTACCTGATCTCAGTTACAGTGGTGATGAAAAGTAAAATTGCGACCAATCCTTGCATCTACAGCTTTCACAGGGCACTAAAGCAAAGGAAAGCTGAAGTAAGATTGTAAGCACAGTTGTAGTTTCAGTTACTACTTATAAAGACTTTGTGTTGATATTTATTATGTTCCACATTATTTAAAAAACTTTAATCACACTGAAATCTTATTGTTTCATTGTCACTGACTGAATATATGAGCAAACCTGTACTTTGTGTGAGATGAGCAGCTACATAAATTTGAAAAATAAATA